AACGGATGTCGACATCCGTTTAAGGCAAAACGGATGTCGACATCCGTTTTGCCTTCAACGGATGTTGACATCCGTTGAAGGATGTCATCCGTCCAGAGGCAGTGTTCCTTTTACGTTTCGTTTTTATTTTATTTGTTTATTTTATTTACAGTAATTTATATTTAAATTTATAATTTTAAATGTTATATATGGTTAGTTTTTAAACGTAATAATTTTGTTAAAATATGAATTTGTTAAAATATGAATTTGTTAAAATATGAATTTGTTATAAGTGGAGAAGAAGCTTAATGGAAGAGAGAAAGGTAAACGAAAATGGAAGAGAGGAAGAGGTACAGAGGGAAATTAATCAGAAGTTTTAAATAAATTAAAATATTAAAATAATAAAAATAAAAAATTTTAACTTTTGAGGATATAATTGTCATTTTAGAAGGATATAATTGGCATTTTAGAAAATTGGGGAGGTGGAGGAAGAGACGTGTGGGGGTGGAGGGAGTAACACCCTCTCACTCAATCACTGTTTTTCTTTATGGGGCCTAGCTTACTCAATAACTTTGCTATTTACACCGGTCTATTTTACCCTCTTCGTGTTGTTGTTTTTTTTCTTAAAAGAGCTCCTTTGATAGAAATTAGTTTCTGTAGTGTGGTTTGCTGTCAATTTCATTGTATTGTTAATATATATTTTGAATTTTGGATTTAATCTTAATTTTTATCAAATAATGTAATGATTATTGTGAGTTTAATAGCTCAGTTTGATGAAATATTACTTAATTAAGTAAGCGTTTATTTTTTTATTTCTTTTGCAATTTTAATAATTGACTATATTGATAATATGGCGTGAAAATCTCAAACAATCAAAGTAAGTCAACACTAGAAGAAAAATACAGCACATTAAAAATTAAATAATTCAAATAATTCAACATTGGATATAAAATAATACAAATGATTATTAAGAACGTGTCTTCCCCTTTAATAAGCACGTTTTGTCATAATATTTAATTTTGTCAGTATGAAAGTGTGTGTATATTAATTATATTATGCAATCATCACTGCACTTGTTTAAACTATATTTAGTTTATTGTTTTTAGAAAGGTGTGTATATACTCTCAAAAAGACTCTTAGAAAGAGCATAGACATTTCTTTATAATGTTGATAAGTGATTAAGGTATTCGAGGATAATATGCATAATCTCAAGAAGAAAAAAGATTAGAAAAAAAAACTTGCACTTGTTTATTTAACTTATATATCCAAAACAAATTCTCGGAGTTGCAACATATCTATTATGAACACCACAACAAATCTGTAAGTCTCTCCATGAAAAGCAACATGTGAACTGACTTAACATCTTATATAATTATATTTAATATTTCTAATGCGAGAAGACTTAACATCTTACATAAATATATTTAATGTTTCTAATGTTTTTGGTTGGATGTGAATGACATTTAATTCCATCTAACAAACTACTGATTTTTATTTATTTTTAATAACAGTAGAACATTCATTTTAATGACCAGTATGGTAGTTTATTCATTAGTTGCTAATTATAGTACTTTTTAAAATGTTAAAATTAATACTTCCAACATTTTAGTGTGTGTTTTTGTGAATTTTTGTCTTGAGCATCACTCTACGTTAGCGTAAATTTTTGTTAATTTCCAATTCTTTATTTTGTCATGAAGTGATTTTATTTGTGTTTTTAATTGTGTTTATAATGTGATGTTCTTGGATTTATAACATGTTGATGGGTATATTTGGTAATTATGTGAAAGAAATTTCAATGAGAAGTTTATTGTAATGGTTCTAACGGTATATGTATTGATGTATGAATTATGTATTGAGAGTTATCTTGACGTTTTAATAATTATCCAGATTTAAATAAAGAAAGGTGAGATATGTGGTGAAAGGAGCAAGATGTTGTAGTCTAAGGGTTTTATTTTGGCCAAAAATATTGACGAACTAATCTTGTATATGGTAAGGTAAAACACAAGGCAATGGTTCTTCGGAAAAACAAAAGTCCCCAGAACTGCATAGTTCGTTAGAGTCTTATATTAATATATGTATCTTGATGAAGAAGTTTTTAATGAATAATCGTATATCTTAGGATTGATTAATATTAATCTTTATAAATGTTATATAAATGTTTTTTTTGATATATTAGCTTACTTTTTTATCTCTATTTGTTTATATATTTGTCTTTCTTGTTTGCAAATATTTCTTTGATAATACGAGCACATGAGAATGTTCTAGTAGATCTAATGTAGGACGAGGATGATGTTGAAAAAATATAATATCTGTTTTTCCATTTATAATCAATTTTTGAAAGATTTTGTTAAGTTTTATTAATAAGTGTAATATTACTTCTCTATGAAATCTTTTATATATATTTGGTATTATAGTTATATTTAGAATAATTGTTGTAATATTTAATATATTTTGTTCAATTAACTTGTTTTTATATTAATGTGATGACTACATTAGTAATTAAATATTATTAAAAATGAGATGTTATAATTTTATATTTTTTTTCCAATATGGAAGTGAAGTCAGTGCAATACTTTTCAACAAAACAATTCCTATAACACAGTATAAAATATTTTTCTTTTAGTCTTTTTGACTTAAAAATATGTATTTTATATTTTAAAATCAGTAAATATAGCAGAAAAAATGACATTCATTCGACACAAGACATTATAAAGCATTATAATAAATAATTATGGACCAATTCTTACGCAATCAGCATCGTGGTTTTGCTTAATCTTGGTAAGGATTCATGAATGCCACTTATTTGAGGTTGTGCTGTTGATCCCTTGTCCTTAGACGTTTTTATGTCTTAGATCGGTTTATCATGTTACTTCTGTCCATATCTGTCTACATCTCATTAAGATATATCATCATTTTGATATCAATAATTCATAAAAAGAGAAAGTAGACACCACATTCTAAAAAAAAAAAAAAGTTTTGCATATAAAAGAAATTTACCTGAATGATTTATTTTAAAACGTCACCATTTAATTAAATGTTGCCACCTACTTGAAAAAAAAAATCCCAGTTCGTAGATATTTTTATTTTCTTAATTCACCGTAAACCAATTCAAGAAAACAAAACACATTAAACACAAAGTTGAATGGCCATTAATTAAAGAATAATGTTTAGTAGGTGGTTTAAAGAGGGAGCTTTATTTATATTTAATTTTTTATAATCATTGTATCGAAATTGATAGATTAATTACCTTTTTAATGTCGTGCCAATGTTAGAAAGAAAGAAGTGAGTTTATTTTTTAAATAACAAAGATTATATATTAATAACATTATTATTCGCAAGTAAATGTAATTTCATCAACCAAAGTCCAAAACACTACTTGATCAATACACTAATTGTGTCTTGACATTCTACATATCCTGAATGTAACAAAAAATTTCTTATCTCAGCACAATATCTGTAACATATTACTACTGTGATTAAAAAAGAACAACTAATGACCTAGCACAATGATTTTGTAGGGACTCATGGTAAGTGTAATGAAGCAAATATAGATTATTGCCAACATTTTAATGAGATGGATGAATAAAAAAAGAAAAGACGTAGCTGGAGGAGTTAAGTGCGTTGGGACATAACAAAACAATGGACATTGATTATGAACGGAGAAGTATATATAACCCCAAAAATGTATCCCATAAACATTGATTATGAGATGAAAGTCGCATCTCAACCAACGAAAATGGAAAACAAAAACCTGCACGTCTAATTCAAGAGATGTTTGCTTTCACTTCATTTCTTCCCAAACCCAAAATCCAGAGTCAAAACGATTCTCTAGTTAGGCGCCATAATTCACAACCAAAAATAAAGTTCGCGATTGCCACCTTGCATCTTTCTACCCAATCAAGAACCGCCACGTCACTAATCTTTCAAAGAAAAAGTGCAGGTGAAGCCAGCTGTGAGGGTTTAATTGGAGGGTATAGAAACAAATATCCAGATCCGAGTACAGAGTATAATTCGGAGACATAGTCATAATTCAGAATTCAGCATCCCCAACCATAGCAACCGCTTTATTGATTGATTCCACTTCAAATTTGGGCACCGCTTAAAATCTCAGAATTTAGATCTAAAACTGATACTACTCTCACTCGAGTCACACGCAGAGCCCAGAAACACTTCTTTCTCACTCTAACAACAATGCCTCCCACTGAAGGAGACTTCGATCTTAGGGTAAAACTCCGAGAATCCCTATTTACGTTTTTGTTCGTCTCTATTTCTCTCACACACTCTCTTTTCTCTGCAGCATCCGTCTCAATCTGCCTTCGCTGCCGGGTTAGTTTAGAACTTCAGAAAACCCTATGCTCTTCAATTTTTCTTCCACTGTAATCCATTCGGAGGGTTTTCGTTTTCCTTTCTTTGTTTCAGAGAGTACACGTTCGCCGATGTCGAGAATTTGGAGCATTGCGCTAAGTATCTCAACCAATCGCTCGTCACGTTCGGATTCCCTGCTTCGCTCGATCTCTTCGCAAATGACCCCGTGAGAATTTAACGGATCTTCACTTAACGTCGTTTTTTGCGCCAATGTGTGTTCGTGTGTTATGTGAATGGTGTTGTTTTGAAAAATGTGGTAGGTTTCCATTGCGAGGACTTGCAATTGCATTTACTTTCTGCTCCAACAGAGACAGCGCGATGTCGAATTTAGAGAGTCTGCTAATGATCAAAGACAACGGTAGTTCCTGTATGAACCATTGTTTAGTGTTTCCCTCTTGATGCATTATCTGAACGAGTTCAATATGTTTTGCCTTTGCTGTTGTTGTAGACTGTTGTCTGACATCTCGAGGTTAGAAGCCAAAGTGGAGAGGCTCGAAGGTCAACTACAAGTCAAAGACAGGGAGATAGCGACTATTACTAGAACAGTAAGGAGATGCTTGGATTTTGGTTTTGACAAACGTAAAGCATATTATTGTCTTGCTTAAATGAAATGTTCAGAGGCGTGTCTCTATTGTGCAAGCGGAAAACAATTTCCTTATTTGTGTGCCGATGCCACCCGAATTTATTTGTTTATTTATTGTTTTATTTTAATTGGGGTTGAGTTCCTGTGGTATAGGAAGCTAAAAACACGGCAGCTTTGAAGGCTCAAATTGAGAAGCTGCAGCAG